CCCCCAACCCACCCACACACACACTTTTTCCATTTTCCTGTAGGATCCTTGACTCTTTTTGCTGCTGCTTCTCCTGGCCCCTAATTTTTACTGCTGTTTTTCAGCCACACCCGAGACTTGCTGATATCAGTACGTCTCTGCCACACCCCTTATCTTAGGGTAAGTAATATCTGACGTTTTATCTTCTCGGATATGAGCAAAAAAATTCAGGAGGTCCCTAGCGCAAGTTGCGCACGTTAAAGACCCATTTGTGATTTTTTTTTTTTAATCGACGAAAGCAGCCGGCTTCGGTCGTCATCCCGGCAAAATTCAAAATTAATTCGCTCATAAGTTAAGTTTTAATTTAGTAAGAGTTTTACGGCGCTCGCAACTGCAAGCGGTCATATTATGAGCTCACGAACCACAAGTTGGTTGCATCCTCGACAGCTCTTAATACGGCTTCATTATGCAGTTGCGAACACCTTAAAACTTTTACCAAAACAAAACATGGTAATTAACTGTGACAGCAATATTCTTCAGCCAAAGGCAAAAAAAAATGTTGTGAGATGATTCTCAAATTAGTTTGATCCGTGACAGCCTTTGACTACACATAAAATCTATTACGTGTTTATATTATATATGACAGACAGACAGACAGGCCGACAGACAGATAGACAGACAGGCAGACAGACAGACAGCCAGACATAATATTGGCCACGGGCTCAAACCAGACTGAAAAGTCAAATTAATCAAACAGCATCGATTTAAATGTTCTCTCGAAATCAGCCAAATTAGAAAGGTGAAATCTAACCAAATCAGTAGCCTTACTCATATAAGCACAAAATAAACAGAACCTGCCATATGGCTTATTAAGGATTCCAGATTCCTTGTCAACAAGCTGGACTCCGGTTACGTGCAGGTGTGTCCCGTCACAATAAAATTATAATGTCCCCTTTGTTTGTCTTTTGGTTATTTTCCCCCCAAAACACCTGTCATTAACCCTGATTCTCCCCCCCCCCCTAATGTCTCCCAGATGGCGTGCAGAGTGCGGATTGAAGTGGAGTTTCACGTCTATCACAGCAATGTCAGCACCTTTGGGTGTTGTTTTTTTTTTTATAACATAGTTTCTCTCGTAGGCATATAGTTAGTGCTGTGCAATTTCGAATAAACGAAAGGTACCGACGGTCCGAAGAGTGAATATATGGCTGTGACCTTCAAATACTGGTGAATGTCTGTTGTTTTGTTTGTTTTGTTTGTTTTGTTTGTTTTGGCTTTGCTTTGTTTTGCTTTTAACCCTCTGACGTCACCAAAGGCATGTTTTATCATTCTTGTTGGCTCCACCCATCATTTTGTCTCGAAATCATTTAGCGCGAAGTATAATTTATGTATTTACCCCTAATTACTTTTGATATAATGTTCTAATTTTGTGGCGGATTGAAAAAATGAGCCCAAATTTCATTGTCCGTAAAAAATCACACAGCATCTGAATGATACTAGGGTGCGAGTGTTTCTTTATCTTTCTA